GAAGGCAACAATACTGCGCTAGAGGATTTATGTGATCATAAACAAAGGCCAATTGCTCAAGGCACTTAATTCGTTTCTGATTTTACGCGTGATATCAGTTTAAGACATCATTACGATAGAAATATTGTTTTTATATGCCGTTATATGGGATATACAGGGAACATCACGTGTTCCTTTCATGGTGTTTCATTGGAGCCGATACAGAGAACCGTGGAGGAACCCCGTATCATCCGGAGAAATTGTCTGATAATGTTTCGTTTCAGAATAAACTTGTCGAAGTGGACAACGCGAAGATTAAACTCCAGGTTATCTCTAATTTATCTGTCTTGTTAAAGCTATTACTGCTGAAGTAATTTACAATCATGAGATGGATCTCAAAGATTACTATTGGTCGAGATCAACTCATGAAATACAACGATTTAATCGTCATTTGTTCAGCTCCTCTATACCACATGCAAAATTCACATCTAGATCAGAAAAACAGAAAAAATTCTTTATGAAGTTTCCGAGTTCCCATCAGGATTCTCGGGAATCTCTCCGGTTTTATCGCGCGACAGGTAATCCATCCGGAATTCAAATGCGCAAGGAATCGATTCTAGTCAGGTGGTCAGTTTCAGATTTGGGATACGGCTGGACAGGAGAGGTTTCGATCAGTGACGAGCGCCTATTATCGTGATGCAGATGCACTTCTACTTGTCTATGATATCTCGAATAGAAATAGCTTTACGAACATTCGAGTTCGTTGCATCTAACATTCATTATGAAATAGATATCTTCGACGAATTGACGATAATCTTTCATCATTCAAACCTTCATCATTATGACTTTTTCGTATTTTCATGCACATCACCTTTAGAAACGCTAATAAATGCTTGAAAATTGTTGGTTTCAAGTTTTGGTGCTGTTTCGAGTTCGATTCATGATGCTGGCATTCAGCAAATGACTCGAATCCGAACTTGAATTCAGTGTCGAATCGTTCGTTATAAACTATTAGTTTCAACCTGGCTAGGAGAAGGATTGAGATGAAGCAAAAATTCATTTCTTTTCAGAATTGGTTAGCGCAGGTGAAAGAATTTGCCAAGGACAGCGTGCTGATCACTTTGATTGGCAATAAAATGGACTTACATCAGCAAAGGAAAGTGAAATATGACGAAGGGAAAAAGTTAGCAGAGGTCGGTTCGGCTTTATCTCAACGTATTGTAGCCGTTTTGCTGTGTTTGTGTAATATAGTGGAGCAAGAGAAATTCTCATTCATTTATTCAAATAACTCAGTTCGAAATGGCTTTCTAGTCGATTCCATTTCAGGATTATAATATTGCTTTCATTGAGACGAGCGCAAAAACCGGTCAAAATGTACACGAAGCATTTCAAGAAATGGCCAGGTATGAGACATCTTCTATGGAAATATCGTTGGCTTGCAATTTCCGAGGCAGTACATGATGCTGAATTCATAGCATTTTATGGCCACAAATTCCACATATTCAATGAAATATGCCTATATCAATATGCATTTTATTCTGGTCATTAATATTTTCGCAGAAACCCCACATTGAACAACTACATTTTGATCTTCGAAAAAGTCAGTATGATCGTGAGTGATAAAGGAGCTTGATGCTCACAGGCGAGTTAAACAATATCGATATTTTATGATTTCGAGAACTTATTCCAGGCGTCTGATCCGAGCTTACAGTGGCATTGGGGATGACGGTAAAGCAGTCATTGATCTAGCAACCCATCCGTCATCGTCTTTCTCGTGTTGCTCAACTTCATGACATTCGCCGATTCACCGAATGCAAACAAACGAACTGATGTTATTATTGCTGTACAATACAAAACTGAGCATGCTTTGTGTTTTGAACCTCATTCGATTGTACGTCTATCAGCAAGTCAGTCATTCAGACCGCTGATATCTGTTTGAATGTGTGCTCACTGGTGATTACCAAGGATTTGTAATCTCTTCAAATATAAAAACCATCAACCAAACTTGTTATCTGTCACAATGCAACACATCTAATCTGATGTTCCTGGAAGAAATATTCCTAGAAACATAGCAGCCAAAATGCAGAAACCCTGGAGGAGATCATAACTGTACTGTATTCACTGTATATAACTATAATGCAGATTATAGCTATTCATTATAACAATAATGTATTATAACTATAATGTATAACTGTATATGTAAGCTGGACTAAGTTGAGATTTGAGTGTGTGAATTGAACGTGAAGCATATTCATCTTGAGGTGTTGAACTAAGTATTAAAATTATTGTTATTTGTTATGAAGTCGTTTTTGATACTCAATATGAGCGAACGCAGAAGATCTGGACGATTTTGAGAAATAGAACGGCACGCATTACCATATAGCAAAGGGATCTGTGCGTTCCACTTGAGCATACTCGATTTCCATCGACCTTTTCTATATCATAAATTGAGCATTGTTAGCCTCGCACTTGTGCAGACTGCATAGAATGGTGAGCATTACATACAGTCGTTGTTGAAATGAAAGGCGATAGTTCGATGGAACCTATCCCATATAAGATGAGTGAAAGGGAAATGAATTCAAGTGACATTATTCTTCGCCGCAACTTCTAGAAATATATTTGCATCAGTTTGTTTTACAAATTAAACCCGCAGAACTATCACTTCAATTCGGTTTCATANATCGAACAACAACAACAACAATAAATCATCAAAAAATCCTGTTTCCAAATGTCGACGATGTGCTTGAAGTTATTTGTCAATTAGCGGCGCCGCGGTGCATTGGTGAAAAATGAACAGCTTTCGTAACAGAGTTTTCGAAACTATCACCACTCACTTCTAATTGTGGAACAATTCGTAGCAGTATACAGTACAAACAAGACAAGTAATCCAATTGAGCCGAGCTGCTTTATGAAATTATAGCGAAGATGAACACAATTTCGTATGATCAGATCCTGAACTATCGGCTTTCTTACAGGTCAGTTCTGAGCTATAAAATGATCCGGAATTGCGCAAACTCTCTGGAATCGCTACTGCGGCAGTGAATTTCTCAAATCATGTTCCTGTGGTCAGCATCTTGGTTTCATTATCATTGGATGGGCAATTGAACTTCCGAATCGCATACGATTGGACTTCAGTTATGATTTTTCCCTATGATTGTATCTTTTTCTGCTATTTACAATAGACTGATAACAATAAATTTTTTTGAAAGCCGTTTATTTATATTGATATCATCATGAGAATACACCGTTTTCCGTCACAAACTGATCAATGCGTAGATAGAAGATATGTTCGAATGTTACAGTCGCTGCTGTGCCCAATGTTGCTTCTTAGTTTTGTTACTGATTTATCCAGCTAAATCGATGTTCTTGGTGTTGATACTTCCAATATTCGTACCGCCATAGTTGTTATTGTAGCCACCACCGTAGTTGTAATAGGTGGGTAAGTATCTACCATAACCATAGCCACCGCCACCATAATAGCCAGGGTAGTAGCCACCACCGTAGTAGCCACCATATTGTCGCTTGATTCGCTCTCTGAAGCTAGCATTAGGATTTCACTTTGAAATGAAAAGGTATATCGTCGTTCTCGGAGAGTTTACTTTGGAAGAATTCATTGTTTATGATGTGATTACGGAATACAATTGGTTCAAAATAGCTCTCTGACAGAGCTAACCTTGAATCTGGGATGCTGTATGCAAACGAAACGCATACGTGAAGCAACACAAGAGCTACGATCAAGCGTAATGAGGTCCTCATCCTGCAATCATTCGAGTCTATGAATAAATTCATTTCGAGTCATGAGCCGTCATTTGAACGCTGTTTCAAGGTTAAACGCCAGAATGAAATCCTCAATCAGATATTCCTTGAACGGAAGGAATCATTTTTGAAAATAATATTTCATTGCTGAATTTTCCTGTCCACTCATCCTCAGTGAACATTCTTCTGCTCGAAGATGCTTATGCGTAATCGTCANGCTGAATTTTCCTGTCCACTCATCCTCAGTGAACATTCTTCTGCTCGAAGATGCTTATGCGTAATCGTCATCAATTCTTACAATAACATTACAACTCATTCAGTATGAGTCTCATGCAGAAAGTTAGACCGTGAAAGCAACAACTGCAAAGGTCATGGCAATCATGAATTGAAATTCATAATATCAATCACACGTCTCGCTGGAAACGATCGCGATCCGCTGCAAACAGCATTCATTGGACTGAATGAATGTTTAACAGTTTCCAGGGAAATTCTGCTGACTCTATGGAAAAAGTTCTGCGAAAGGACATCAAGAACAGATAGCCGATATCGGTGATAGTGAATCGAAACATCATTTATTGCCTTATAAATATTTTCGTTACACTAAACCGGTCGTTTACTCGTTTTGTTATCTCTTAACTTCTTAACTTCAGCGTCACATTATCACATTCTGCGTGTCCGCGCATATCACTTCTTCACCAAACACATTCGTTATTTTAAAAAAAAA